AAAAAAAACGTACGGCGTTAAAAAAAATATATTTTGAAGATAAATGTTGACACTTTTAGATGGCGTAAACGAAAGTAGAAAAAAAAATTTACTTCGTTAGCAAAAAAATCACAAATATGTCAAAAAACGTCAATTTTGACACCTTTAACCTCATTTTTCTCAAAAACCTGACGTGATAGAGCAATTCTGCCGCCGGATTCAGATTCAGCGCAAAAAATTACGTGAGAAAACATAGTTAAATCCCAATCAACTTTCAACACCTCCAATTTTGCAGGCCTGTGTTATTAGTACCGGAGCAACTATCTCTCTAATTAAATTAAAAACGTTAAAGAGTAAAACCGAAATCGCTGACGGAAAAGTAAAAATTATAGGCGTCACGGGACACGCAATGTCTACAATCGGAAAGGCGATTCTTACGATAAAATTATACGACGAAGAAATCGAGCACCCCGTATATGTAGTACGAGACGATGCCCATGGAATACGATGGAATCTTAGGAACGGATTTCATTCGGCGACACAAGGTCGTAGCAAATTATGATACACGATGCGTATCAATAGGCAAAGCACAATTTAAATTGCTATATATCCGAATTAAATTGAAACCGCGAAGCGAAACTATAGTACAATGTACCGCTAACAAAAATAAACTAGGTATAACAAAAGCAGAAGAAACGGCTCCAGGGATTTTTATAGGAAGCTGTTTAGTAGCTCCTCAAGATTATATATGTCCTGTAACTATCTAAACACTACAGAGACCGAGTTAGAATTAATAACACCACAGGTAACGATAGACGAGTTAGAAACGGATATAAAATACGAAACCGTGAATAAAATACAATTAAATAAAGTTTCTGAAAATCAAATCTCTCGTGAGGATTTAGTAAAAAATCTTTTGCGAACAGAGCATTTAAATTACGAGGAAAAGAAAACACTTCTTCAAATCTGTTCGGAATATAATGATGTATTCTATTTAGAAAGCGACACATTAACCTGCACTTCTAAAATCGAGCACGAAATAAAAGCTAAAGCCAACTCGTCCTGCGTAAATGTCAGACCGTATCGCTTGCCGGAAAAACATAAAATCGAAGTAAATAAACAAATTCGTGAAATGTTAAAAAATGAGATACCAGGTATGTAAATATGAAACCGGAATTTACCAATAGATGGCCATAGCTGTCAATGTAGTTGCCGTCAGACCGCGTCATTGACGCCATTTCCTTGATCTGACATCTGACAAAGATTTTCAACTCACAACAATACAAGTTTCATACAACAGTATAGTTTGTAATAGCGTTGAACATGTCAAATTTTGTGTCTGGAAACTACGATTTGCGGACAGCATTGATTTTCTGTTACCATTTGAAGAAAACTGCTGCAGAATCGCATCGAATCCTTGTCGAAGCTTACGGTGAGCATGCTCTTGGTAAATTACAGTGCTTTGAGTGGTTTAAAAAATTCAAAAGTGGCGATTTTAACGTGAGAAACGAAAAACGTGGAAAACCACCGAAAAAGTTTGAAGACAGCTAATTGCAAGCATTGTTGGATGAGGATGACGCTCAAACTCAACAACAACTCGCGGATCAATTGAATGTGACACGATAAGCCGTCTCCATACGTTTGAAATCCATGGGAAAGATCCAGAAGATGGGAAAATGGGTTCCACATGAACTGAATGAAAGACAGCAGGAAAACCGAAAAACCACTTGCGAAATGCTGCTCGCCAGGTACAAAAGAAAGTCATTTCTCCATGGAATTGTGACTGGCGATGAAAAGTGGATATATTTTGAGAATCCTAAGCGTAGAAGATCATGGGTAACTCCAGGCGAACCATCGACATCGACTGCAAGGCCAAATCGCTCTGGACGGAAGACAATGCTCTGTGTTTTGTGGGATCAGAAAGGTGTGATCTATTATGAGCTGCTAAAACCTGGCGAAACCGTTAATACTGAACGCTACCGACAACAAATGATCAATTTGAATCAAGCTTTGAGTGAAAAACGACTGGAATACCAAAAAAGGCACAAAGTGATTTTGTTTCATGATAATGCACCATCACACACAGCAAAACTGGTCAAGGAAACGATTGAGGTGTTTGGTTGGGAAATACTTTCGCATGCG